AATTTCAACAGAAATAGCACTTATACATAGAGTCATTCACTTCATGAAGTTAATCTATTTTACACTAGTAAGCAGCAATTAGAAAATGCTACTTCTCAGTATCATGGAATATTTCCTTTGAGGTTTCTACCATAAGTATTTAAAAAAAAAATAAATCACCAACGCACAACAAATTATATCTTGACTATACAATCTACACCATATACCTATTTTGTAGTGAAATGAGCTGGATTTTGTGTAAACTGTCTTTCTGTGAGGACCTGATACAAAATCCAGTCAATTACTTCCACCAAAACTGCTGACAGGAGCCTTCGATATCTTTTTCTTCTCAGCGACAAACTTACAATAACTAATCAATACTTTTCTGGCAATGCTCAATTCATGATTCCGAGCTATATGTCATTAAAGAAAGAATATACCAGTTTGGAAATACATTCAGATGCTGCTGCAAGTTCCTTTGCAATCCAAATGTTGTGATATAATGGCTCTGCTCACCAATTCAGAAATAGATCTACTTCTCACCACAAAGGTAAATTTCTAACCTGTTTCAGTTACAGTCAAAGAACCATTTTCATTAAGTAATTTGGAAGGGAGGAAATGAGTCTTCCTGCAGAACGCCAAATACTTCTATATAGTTTGATTACACCCAGACACTGGCTACCAGAAAAAAACTGCTAGAATCAGATGCTGAAAATGATACATTAAACTCAGACCTTAACACAAGCATAGGAAGTATTTTCTCAATGTTGAAAAAAGTATCACTGTACCATATAAGAAAATTAGAGAGATTGTCACATGGAACACCCTGAGTTTCCAAAACAGTGGATATATTTGTTATCAATTTGTACGTGGTGTCAGGAGCACGTATTGAAAATTACATGTGGCATAGGGTGCTGTGAATTAGATAAGGTTCTAAAAGACCAGAAGAAACTTCAGAGTTTTTTGAAGAAAATAAAATGAATAGTTAACATAGGAGCAGAAAAAAATTACTGTTGACCAAATGCAAGACAATAAACAGTGGGAGGTACTAAAAGAATTCACAGGCAGTTTTGAATGGTAAATTAGCTAAAAATGATTGATGTTGCATACACTGACATTTCACACAGTGAATGTGAATTTGAAGAAAAAGTGAGACAAGTAGAAAAGCAAATGTGGATTTATAGCAACACCTTTGTAATACAGATTGACAACAGCAAAAATCAGTTTTTGTAGGCATGGAAAAAAATAGTAATTTTGTATATATTCAAATGCTTTACTTTCAAATAGAATATAATTTTCATCCCATCTATATCATGCTCAAAAAGATGTAGCAAAAGCAGGCACCAAAAGTCTAGGCATTTTGGAGCTCTGCATATGGAAAGAGAAAGACGACTGACACTACTGAGTAGAAAACCAATAAAAGAAAGAACCAAAATACAGAAAGGTGTGAATTACGTAACTTTTTTCCATTTCCCTCAATGCTAAACCTGAGAGTCACTTTGGCACCAACTTGTTTGCTAACGTTATCATCCCCTTCTATATGGTCCCACTAAAGGATGTAATAGGAAAACATTAAACAGAATCTGGAAAGGACTAAACAACAGTAAACATCTGAAACAGTAGTGGTAACTTCCAAACAGTTTACAACGGCTAAACTGCAACACTAAAATAGAGGGATTGAAAGCAATGAAGTACAAACAGTGAGGAGACTGAGGAGTGCTACTAAAGGGGAATGACATTCATCATTACCTGGTGAAGCTCTGAACTACTCCATAAGCTATATTACATAGCAAAACAAAACATTAATGACTTAGCTAGCGTTATTTATTGAGTTCATATCACAGTACATAACCATGGAGTGCTTCTCATTTCTTTTCCCATTTTGAAATTAACAGAATCAAAGATCAAGGTAACACAGAGATATCAGAACAGCACAGAGATCACCGAAGCAAGAAAGAAGTCTGTCTTGGGTCAAGCGTCTGTCAGTCGTTAGTTCTTTAATAGTTCGGAAAAACCTTCTGGAATGAAAACTCTAAGATATAGCAAAAACCAGCAGAAACTGTCAGAAGATCTGTTAGTTGTGTATGCAAAAGGCTGTCCAGACAAGGAATGGAAGACACTAGCTTTTCATGCAGACCATTGGATTACCCTTGGGTGTCTCTGGGAGCTCCGAGATGCTTCACAAACAGCTAAAAAAATATTCAGAGGCAAGAAGGACTGAGGTCCTAGAAGAGATCACCGGTATAGTAAATTTATTAGAAATTCAGCAATTTTTCCGACCATCCTTTCTCCCCCAACGCACCCACCCTTGGCAGGGGGCACGGGAACCAGGGCTATCTTAGATCACATTACCCTGTCCCCTCAATCCACTGAGGTTCCCTCCACCTTTTCCTTGTTTTAGCTCTTCAAACCAATAAAGGTTCTGATGATCAACAACAACTGAACAATGTATGACCTGGTGAGACTACTGTACAAAGGGAGTCTCAAAATATGCAACTCTATCTCCTCTTTCTGCCCCAGTGGAAACATAACCCAACAATATGACATGATCATATACTTAAATTAACAAAAAATATAAGCTTTCCAAAATACTGCTTTTACCTGGGGAAACACTAAATGTTAAAGAAAGAAAAATGAAAAGACAGCAGAAGCCTACAGGACCCTGCAGCACTGAGTGGAATTTAAATGGTACAAAACAGCTAAGAGGTTGGGCACAGATATCATACCCGTTTTCTTTTTCAGTCACTAATGAATTCAAATAGTAAAAAAAGTTAGCTTAGTATATACACAGAAAAAACATTCCAGCTCATCTTGTTTTTTATGCAGTTACTGTGTTCTTAGATAAAAGCAGTCAAGAAAATTTATGAAACCGACCAAAAAATGATGCAATAAACACCGTAATTACTGTGATTCACCTGCTAGATCCTTCTATTAAATTGCATCGGAATATATAAATAAAGAAGTCATTGTTCTTTATTTATATATTATTAGTTGTGATCATTTATCAATTACAGCTGTCTTATCTTGTTTCATATAACATTCCATTTTCTGTTCTGATCCATTCTCATGCAGGAAAGCCTGACTTTAAGAAGCTGATGTAAAGCCACCAGCACTGCAAGAACATAGATGACATTTATGTTGCTACAATATGTTCCACAATATAAAAACATACAGGAGAAATGAATATAGAAACTTTTCATGTTTTTCAATCAGCACATACAGTACTGTTTATAAAAATGTATTTGTTTGCACTTTTCTCCAACGGATTTATATATGGAATCATACCGCAATGTCATATTGCAGTTTATTACAGCTACGGCTCCAACAGACAAAATCCAAAAGCAAAACAAACAGAAAAACTGAAACACATTGTAAGTTTTGTTTATCAATTTTGAGTAGGAAGAATTGCCATCACCCATAAAAACAAAGCATCCCAAACTAGGAATATTAGATGTACACTTGTGTTTAAAAACTATGCGGCAGAAATTCTCACATCTCCACATCTGCAAAAATGCAACTACTTTCATGCAAACGAGCATGAAACACTTGTCTTTAAATGAAAGCTATAAACTCTTTATCCAATATCTCAGATGGATCATCGCTGTTGTAGCTTCTGTGAGTCACAGATGAAGATGTGATACCTCAGGCATCTCAGTGACAGAATGACCAAAGACTCTTTACATCTCCTATTAAAGACTTGCAATAGCTCCCTAAAGTAAAGGGCATCTATTCATTCTATTTCTAGTCACAATCAAATCAATGAGAGACAATTTTCCTATATTAACATTCATGACTCCTTCTGACACAAAACTTGCTTTTGTTTATGACGCATATATAAAAGCATTCCCTCTCCAACAGATTTTGATGGCATTTAGAGTTCAATACTAGCCAAATATGTGTATATGTCCTGTTTTACCTCAAACCAGAACAGTATAATGAAAATATGTTAGCAGTTACTAGTTCAAAACATGACTTAATTTACACTATATGCATAAAGTCTTTGGAGTTCATCTAGCATAACTTTCACAAGCACACCAACTATATGTACATTAGATAATCAATCAATCAATCAAATAAAATACTTTTTATAAAGACTCTGGCAGTGTATGAGTCAACTATCCCACCAAAAGTCTACTTATCAACTGAACTTTTTTTTGGAACACCCGAGTTAATTTCAAATAATTTTTAATTGAACCAGAGCAGAGGTGAGCAAAACATTTGGAGGAAATGCAAAAAGTTCTAAAGTGATCTCTGGAATAATATAAATCACTAGTTCTGAGTCAGACACACTGTATTGCAGGTCCAGCGAGGGCCAAGAGCTGAAGATGCATATGGGAAACAGTTAATTCAAAGCAATATTCTCATAATATTCAGCAACCTTCAACTTAAAAACTTCTTGAATTTCTTAGGAATTTTTCTTTATGTTACCGTTCTTCTTTGGATTACTTTTTTTTTTTGTGAATAATTTAGAAGTTTTTAAACATTCCAAACCTTTCTTTTGTGCAAAGTATAACAGAACTTTTTTTTAACCAATTTAATACGTAGAATGTTAGCAGACATCTGAAAATCCAAATCATCAATTTGTCCAAATCATCAATTCATAACCCAAAGAAAACTTCACAAAGCGCAAGCCAATCCCACAAACTAGGACTATCCTGAACTAAGGTAACAGAAAGAAGTGAGCAGCAGAAGAAACAAGTCATAGAAAATTCTCTGTAATAAACAGCATAACACACTTCCTTCCAACATGCTTTACAAGTAACTACTAAAGTAACCTTCATCCTGTGTATATATATACAAGACTATACTTAGAAATATCTGCTTGAAATACAGATCGTAACTGTCTGTTCAATGAAATACAAAAATGTTTTTCACAAAAAAAAAAAAAAATCAGTCTCATTGGCGAATGTACTGTATGTATTATTTACATTAAAACAAAAGTAGCTTCTCCAAGCTTTTAATATTTCACCATTAATTAGCTTCCAATCATTTAAAAACTATGTTATTACCACTGGACTTACCCATAATGGTTAAAGCTGTGGCTTTTGTTAAGTCTTCTTTCATTGAATCTATTATTTCAAGATTACCACCATCCAAGTTGCATCTATTTATGGTTCCATTTCCTGAACTGATCCAGTAAAGTTTGTTCTCTCCATAATCTATTGATAAACCTGTAATTAATGTATACAATTTTAACTGTGGCTTGAATATATAATATACATTTAGTGTTAAGCTGTTTTCATAATAAAAGTGTATTTAAGAAATATATATCTGTACACGCACACAATTATATTACTCATCCACTCAAACTTTAAAAAAAAAATATGAGAAAACCAAATAAACGTGGCCATTCACAGTGAACAAACATGCTTTAAAAAAAAATTTCTGCCTTTTACTTCTCCCACTTACAGAAATCAGTGACTGATTGATGAAAGAGTATTATCTGGCAATGAACAATTACTTGAATGAACTGAGGTCCTAAGTGAGGTCATTAACTACTAGTAAATGTGAACCAGAAGCCATCGCTTATGTTCTAAAATTATGAATACATGAAGACTTAGAAGACAAGCTACTTTTTGTGATTCAGAACTATAAAAAGTCTGTTCTCTCCCTACATGCACAAGCCTCTGCTTAGAATGCTGAAATACCAAAACCTAGTACTAGTTCTCAATAAATTTACAGTATTAAGTTTAATTTTGCTTCATAGTGAACTGACCTCACAATCAGTTCTTGGGAGTTAAAAGCAAGAAAACTGTAGAATTAAAAATACTTGCAAAATAACCTACTAAACAAACAAGGCATATAATTTTCTGGAAATAAGTCCAAAGAACTAAGAGATAATGTGCTTCAAACTTCTATAATTCTTTAAAAATATTCAAGTAATTGTAGCTGAAGATTTTCCACAGTGAAATACGCTTGGCATGGTGACAATACATGCCACAATAATTTGCTTTGGTACTAGAGTTTTCCCAGAACTCATGTTAGTTATCCAGCAGCAAGTTGCCAAAAAATACTGTATTTCGTTCCATAGGTCAACCTCTTGATAGTGTACAGTAGCCTTCTTCCATCCTGTAAACCACTTCTCTGTGGAAAGCCAGATCTATTTTCCCAATGCTGACAGAAGAAAGCAGTGCCATGTGCTGCAGTACTTAGAGCTGGCATCGTGCCACCACTTCTCTACCCACCTTTGACATAGGAGGCCAAAAGGTGTCGGCTTTCTAAGCTTTTCAAAAACAACTTTCCAGTTCCTTTACAGTTACTGATATATTTTTTTTCCCCTCCCTGCAAGTGTATCACCCAGAAGAAAAACAACACACGCTCCCGAGAGAATAAGGATACCGAGCAGTGCCTTCAGGAGAGCCTGATCTTGCAGCGTCTCTCTGCACATAGGTGTGTTTGTGCTTGTACAACAGGCGTTGCTCAAAGCGAAAAGCCAGTGCCACCGACCTTGGAGACAAGCAGCGCTTGCAGTATTTTGGCCCAGGACAGGAAACTTTCCTGGGAGTATGGATGAACCTTGCTCTGGGTCACAAAGGTAGTATGCAAGTATAAGGGTTTCCTTACTGCGGGATAAACAGCACTTAATATTCCCTGTAACTCCTGACCGCTCCCAGTCAGCCACTCACCGATTTCACCCAGACAGATCTATTTATGGGGCTGCTCTGAATGCAATCTACACAGCAATTACAATGTTATCTTCTCAGGTTTTCTACTTCTTCAGTTATTAAACTGGTGTTTCTACACATGGGTATTCCAATCACACAGCAGCAACTGACAGAAATAACATTCCTATCTCCTTCTACCCAAGTCTACCACATTTTTCTTCCCAAAGTATTTTCCTGTTGCGTTATTCCACCTGTTACCAATCTTTGTGAAAACATATTATTTCTTATGTAGGCAGAGCATGTTTATTTAGATTTTTTCCGGAATCGTCTTATTTTTACTAATGCTTTCATTAGGTGACTTACTGGCCGTAAGCATCGCAGATACCCATGATGCATTCTTGCGTGGGTGACCGGCCTACACCTTATGGCACAGATGCCAAAGTCAACCTGAATATGTGGATCGTAAAATGTTGCTCTCAGATAATTCTAATGTGTTTTAAAAAAAAAGTATTACCATATCATAGAATCATAGAACGGTTAGAGTTGGAAAAGACCTTAAAGATCATCCAGTTCCAACCCCCCTGCCCTGGGCAGGGACACCTCCCACCAGCCCAGGTTGCTCAAAGCCCCAACTGGCCTCTAACACCTCCAGGGATGGGGCAGCCACAGCTTCTCTGGGCACCTGTTCCAGTGCCTCACCACCCTTAAAGTGAAAAATTTCTTTCTAATATCTAATCTAAATCTCCCCTCTTCCAGTTTAAAACCGTTACCTCTCATCCTATCTCTACACTCCCTGATAAGGAGTCCCTCCCCAGCTCTCCTGTAGGCCCACTTTAGGTACTGGAAGGGGCTATAAGGTCTCCCCGGAGCCTTCTCTTCTCCAGGCTGAACAGCCCCAACTCTCTCAGCCTCTCCTCATAGCAGAGGTGCTCCAGCCCTCTCATTGTCTTCGTGGCCCTCCTCTGGACTCGCTCAACAGGTCCATGTCCTTCTTATTTTGGGGTCCCCAGAGTATGACTTAGGCGATCACTGTTTTCACATGCATTTTCCAATTTCCTTACTCAAATTTCCAGAAATATGCTACTATTTAAAAAGCGTATCACAAAGGTTTTTCCAGCAATTCATAAACAGAGGTACCAATCTTAAAGCCATATATCTAATGAGATCTGAGCTTCCACTACCAGAAAATCAAGTTTGATATTTTAATTTGGTGTACCCGTGAAGTTCAAGGAAATGACTCTTGATAGCATTTTTTTGTATACTTATTATTTAAATAATGAATGTTCCTCTAACTTCATTTTTACCTGTAGAAATGTTCTCTAAAAAGCACAGGATGCTTAAGGGAACAGTGTGTTCCTAGAAAATTAAAGATGGGATTCATTCTAAATCAATTAAATCTTGGACACTGCTGTTACAGCTTAGATGAATTATAGGAATAGTATTTGCAATTTTTGTTCACATTTAACACCCTAGTGACTTAAGAAAGGCTTTTTAACTGTTTATGGCTGATTACATTTGAAGTGAAAAAACAGTGCTTAAAATTAGGAAATCCTTAGGTTTATTTTTCTGCTAAACGCACATACATAGTTAAGAAATAACTGTTTTAAAACAAACAAAATAAATTTAAGAAGAAAATTTCAAGAGCCAGTCTCAAGAAGATTTTTGGCTCACATCTGCAACCATTTTGTTTGTTGACTATGCTGTATATTCAAAAGAAAGCACAAATTAGCAAGGGATATTCAAGTAAAGAGTCAGCCAAGAAAATGAAACAGGAATAGCTAAACAGCAAATAGGGCTGTACTATAATCCTGAGCGAAACGGAAAATCAGAGGGTTTTTTTTCCAGAAGAAAGGATTGAATTCTATTTAAAAAAACAAAACAAAACACTCCACCCCCCCCGAGACCAAACCCAAACAACACTATCCCTCTATGATTATGGAGTCCTTTGAATGAGTCCTTTGAGAGAGTGATGCAGGAGAGTGTTTTTAAAGGTTATTTATCAAAGCTATTTCAAAACTTACTAAGAATACAATACTTTACAATTTCATAATAGCTATTTCCTTAACAAAAAAAAATCCACTGGATGCATGGTTTGTATATTTAGAGTTTTATAACAAACAACTGTTTAACTGAAAATAAATTCAAGACACCGATGATCTGTTTCACAAAGTATAAAATTAAGCACTAACTCTGAATGCAGTTTAATGGAAGTCCAGCAACTAGTTCCTTTTTCAACCAATCTATATGTAAGCCTTTTAGAACTGCAGAAGGGACTAGGAAGTCCTACCTAGTATGTACAATTTAAGATAAAAATAAGAGACACAATCTGTCATCCTAAGATTATCAGTTTCCAAAATCTCCAAACTACATACTCTTGGTGTTAAAACAAATTATTTTAATTAAAATCACCTCTTTCTATTGAGAAAACTCAAAGTGAGAAAAAAAAAAATAAATCCATCAGGATATTTCAGGTCACATATTGAAATACTTTTCCTCATTCTTCAAATTTTGAAATTATGTCTCAAGAAAACTAAAAACCCCATCAATTATGAGGACATTTGACTCCAATAAGCCATATATTTGTCTCTTTCAGTCATCACCCTGTGAACTCACTTATTAGATCATTCACCTCACTGCTCAAATACTCAAAATTAGCACTGCATGAACTAGAGTTTCACTTATGGAGAAAGACAGTTTCTCAGTTAGAAATGAAATATTAAATTTAGGTTTTAAGACTGCTACTCTCTGGCTTTTCAGTAGTGTTTTCATGTTCTTAGCACGGGAATGTCTTATGCTAATGGTCAGAATAAATTAAACCATTCAAAAAGGCATTTTGCATATATTTGAATTTAGAGTTTGACATTGGAACTTTAATACTCATTTTATCTATAGTGTATCTGATCATTTTCCCTCGGACATGCAATAGAATCTGTTTTCATTTCCATCCTAACTAACAGTAAAACCGAGCCAAGATGTCTACCAATTAAAAAGTTTTTCAGCAATACACAGGTTCAAGCTTTTTTTTCCCCGTTACATACGTATACATATATATATCTACACTCTTTACATACTACATATTCTACACTTTACATACTTAATGATTTAGCATGTTTTCAGACTACCAAGAAGGGAAAAACAATTCAATCTCTACGGCCTCCTTATTATGCAATAAGAACCTTCAATCTGGAATATAACCTATTTCAAGTAATTCTTACCAGATCTCAAAGGTGTTAAAAAGTAATCCAATACTACAGCAAGAAAACAAATTGTCTCACTTGCAGCTCTGTGGTGAAGTAAAAAAAACACCTTATGTTGCAATCGTAACTCCTACCTGAATAGTCCATCTGACACCAGTGAGACTGTACATGTCCATGAAGAAAAATGTCACAAAACCCACATGGATTTCCACATGCAGCCTTTGACAGTACTGATATACTTACAAAAAAACCCTCAAACAAACAAACAAAAATGAGTACTTACCGTTCTACTATGTATTTGGTTCAGTGGCTTTACTGCTGCTCAGAACAAACTCAATGACAGAAATAAGGACTGCAATTTAGGACCTTGTGACCTATGATCACAGGATATTCAGTGCAAAATTTTGCACACAGCCTTACTTCTGAATAGTGTTGTAATGTTACTAAGTGTGTTTATGCTTTGCCTTAAAATTAGTGGGTTTACCACTCCTTTTTCTCCAGATAAATAGATAACTGCCTCTTCAAGTGGACAGATAAAAAAAATAAAATAATATCATATAAACAACAAAAGAGTTACCAAATAAAATCTACAAAATTCTTTGAATTTAGGGTTTAAAATGCATGTCATACCACTCAAATGTCAAATTTATTGAATTATTTAACTAAGTCAGTTTTGCTTCTGCTTGCTTACTGCATTCGGTTATGAAAACCCATAAATGTTTTAAAATGTGGTCACTCTATTGATGGGCCATTAATAAGGCAACAACACTTGACACAACCACTTTAACTCTCTAAAAACTGAAATTACAAAAAGAGAGAGACCTGAATCAAAAATAAATAAATATTACATATACAGAGAGCTTTTTTGCCACAAGGTGACATAATTTATCATCAACTATATTAATTCTGAAACCTTCAATGAGGTTAAGTCATTACAAGAAATGTATGCTTCAACTATTGCTCTTTTCCGAATGTGAAAAGTTATAAGCCAAATTATCTTCTGATCATGCAGCTGGGATTCTGGTGAGGAAGGTTCTACATTTCTAGTCAAAGTATCCTCTCACATATATCCATAACTTATTAAAACTCTGCTCTCTACAGTTTTTTTACCCATGATCTAAAGACTGAGAACTACAGATGCGTTCTCTTTCCCCTTCAGTCTACACAACTACTATCATCCTTAAAGTTAATAATACTATACTTAACCCACTAGGGTAGATTTCAATTAGAACAGGCCAAAAATATCTTAAAACATAAAAGTACATCAGTACTTTTCATGTCTTTATGCCTGTTCTTATCACTGTTATACAGGATATGAAAAACTTCATGGTGTACTTAAATAGTATTTAAAGATGATGTCCATAATAATGTACTATCAAATAAAAAAGAAAGAGGAAAAAAAGTATTTACCAACAGGATCTTTTTGATTCTGAAAGAGTATTTTGCTGTTGCTGCCATCCATGTTCGCCATGTTAATTGTGTTTCCATCTGTCCAGTAGAGCTTACTGAAGAAAACAATGAACATATTTATAATGTTGCTTTGTGTACACAGTATTTTTAATGCATCAGTCATGAAAACATTCATAAGTTTAGAAGGCAGCAAAATACCCAACTAACAATTATACGATTTAATCAACCGTAAGCTTTGGTAAGGAAGCAGTACTCAGTTAAGAAATTCTGAATAAAATCTTTCAAATACATGCATTTACTTTAAGTTTGAAAGAAGACAGAAGAGCAAACTCAAAACCTGAACTAAGAAGAAATGTTCTGAGTGTATTTATTAGAACTACAGATATCTTACCCTTTTACCGGGTGAACCGCAAGACACTGGGGTTTATCAATTCCATGAATGATTGAGGTTTTCAAGGAACCATCTAAATGTGCCACATTAATTTGAGTTTCATCAAATTCTGAGCTAATCCAATATAAATTACGTGATATCCAGTCCACTGCAAGACCTCTGATACTCTGAATATCTGTAAAAAGCAAAAGCAGTTGTTTTTTCGATTTTCTTTCTAGATTGTTCTCAGTCTTGGTGAAAAAAACCCAACAATTTCTGCTACAGTTTGTTAAAAATATTGTGCAATATTCTATTAAGATGTGTTTATAAACTAGTTGCCAAGAAATAGTAATCATTACTTTTCTTCTTAACCTTTATACGCTTGCAATAAGAACATGAAAACTGCACTGAATATTTGGGAAAACCTCCATAAAGATTTCTTAAAAATTAGCATAAACTTATCGTCCAAAAATAATAACCAGACGCTACATTTTTGCCGTGTATTTTTCTACATAAGAAAGCATTTATTACTGTTTGCACTGTTAAAAAGTGGGGTTTGTTGTGGGGTGGTTTTTTGATATGATGATGTAGAATGAGTTAGCCCCTACTAAGAAGTTCAGTAATCCCATTTAATAAACAGAAGAATTACTCATGACATAAGAGGAAGGTTCATCCTTCTTTAGTTGTGAGTTACAGTTTACATATAGAACATTAAGTGGCTTTGTAAAACAAAACTATGTTAAAGTTTAAAAGCCTACTTCCTTCTTTAGCACCAGGAAGGCTCAGTACAGAATATCTGCATTAACACAGATACAGCATAGTTCTATAGCACAGAAGTAGGTAAGTAACTACATCACTGAAGAAGTTTTTTGGGTTTATTTCTGAGAATTTTGAGCTTACTCCCCTGCTTTCCTGGTAATAGCCAAACATCTGTCAGCCAATGGGAAGTAGTAAATGAATTCTTTATTTTGCTTTGCTTGTGCACGCAGCTTTTGCTTTTCCTATTAAACAATCTTTATCTCAGCCATGAGTTTTCTCACTTTTACCCTTCTGATTCTCTTCCCCATCCCACTGTGGGGAGGGAGTGAGCAGCTGTGTGGGGCTTAGCTGCCTTTTGGGGTTAACCCACACCACTAGTATTACCTGAGGTAGCAAAACACGAGTAAGATACGATTAATTTAGCAGCTTCATCACTGTCTTTGCATGTGGCAATCTTCCTTAGCAAGATACTGATTTTAAAAGCGTTAATATATATTAATATCTGCCTTAAAACTGGGTATAAAATCACTGCTCACAATCTATACACCAACATGCCGCTCTGTCTTGGCATAGCTTATATTGGCCAGCATCTTTGTAGACAAGGAAACAGGCCGAGGGTGATTTAATGATTTCATTATAGTTCATAGTTTGTACAGCACCTCTTTGTCAACTTAATGTGGTTACTTCCACTGACAGAATTCTTGTCATTGACAAACTAACACGGATGTGGCTGCGGTCTGGCTTGCATACACATAAGGTCAGGTGATGATTGGGCATTGGGCAGTTTGCCAACTTTAGAGCATGTAACAAAGGACACCAAATACGTATCCTTGACCCATTTTAAACTAATCCCCTGCCTTTTTAGGTTTTGGGGGCTAAAGGAACTAGAAAACAAGCATTTCATACTCTTAAAAAGATTAAAGTATGACTTTGGCATCTTTGTGACACTGGCATAAGACTTCATCCAAAGACAATCCCACTAGTATGTGCTTACAAAGCTTCTTATGTTCTTACAAGAAATATGAAAATATAACTGTAAACAAATGAGATTATTTTAACTTATTAAGTAGTCCTTATAATATTTTGATGTGCCAGAACATTATAATTTTGCAAATTTTACATATAATAAGTTACATCTGGCACTAACAAAACCCATAAAACTCCACCACAGAAGCTACCATAATAAAAAGAATACAAAAGAATGCATGATAAACAGAAACTCTCACACATAGTATGCTTCTTTAAGTTTCATTAAGTTTCTTGACAAGTTTTGGGATTTTTCAGTATATATTTTTTATCAGTAAACCAACGTTTTTATTCTACTACCATTTTAAAAAATAATAAATCTTTCTCTTTTAGGCACCTCAAATCACGATGTAAAGAAGAGCTCTAAGAGGCACTCTAAACCTTGTTCTCATTACTGGTACTGAAAAATGTCTCCAAATGTTATTAAAGTTGTTGCTGAGATAGCAGTGGAAAAATAAAGATACCCACACAAAATTACTTTATCAATCTACAAAGTCAAGTGGGGGTATTGCCATATTCATCCAATGATTTCCCAAAAATATGCTAATATAGAACAAATTTCTTCTAAAGTGAAACCTGTGGCAGAGCTTTAATTAACTTTCTGAAGTCCCTGAATAATCAACTAAGGAAGTACATTCAGGTTTTTCTTTTATTTGTTCTCAAAATCAGGAAAGGTCTGATCTTTCAAAGGCGAGTTATTTCTTTTCTCCTCTTCCCCTTCAAACATACGTTTAACAGTTAAGGAACAAGAGTTTGCAAAATTTGCCTCCAGATACCCCCTGTCAGAGAGTTTTCCTATTTTCAAGCAGGTAGCTATATTACAAAATAGAATAACATCATGTGCTGCCAGGAAAGGAACTGACAGTGGTTGGAAAAAAATCCAACCAAACAAAAAACACCACTTCAAGGACAACAAATGGCATCACTTTAATACTGCAACAACTGCCATAGGGTCAAAGCAATCAGGTATAGGCTTTACAGTCCATTAAGTTTCTGTATTTAAAGTACAGAACAAAAGTGTCGGAACAATGAAGGTGTTAACTACAGAAAAAAAAAAAACAGCCAGTCAGGATTTTCCATTTGCAATGTTTTGTTTTCTTTTACTGCTGTAACCAACCTACCTGTAATGAAAAAGCTCAGTAAAAAGGAAAACCTTAATTGTACTATTTTAAGGAACTGAAGAGGCAATGACAGAAAAGATGTATACAGGATTGAAAGACACATTATCAAAAGATTCCACTTCTTCATGGCACTCAAGTACTGCAAACAGCCTGATGGCAATCACTTTGAACATGACACGTGTTGCAAGAAGACAACAGGTAAATGCATAACACTAGTATCGCCAAAATTACAGAGCTACCAGATCGCGTATTTCACTGATGGTGCCGAAGCTGAAAGATCTACATGAACCAGAAAGAAAAAGTAATGCTGATGGAGGTAATTTCTTTTCTCGGTCGGCACAGATAGCCAAAGGACATAGAAAATCCACAAGAAAGTTTTCAATGCAAAATTATGTTGGGATGCTGTTATTTCTCTGGTTTTCATCTTTTTTCTTTCTACTATCCCCAGGAGACATTCTTTCCATTGTTTACTACACATTTCAATCTTGTATAAAAGCTATATTACAATTACATCCCAATTTATTTAAATAAAAATGAATTATGAATCAATAAAATGAACTAGAATCCTAAACAAAATTGCTCTGTCTTAATGTTTAGATAAATTACCCAGTACCAGTGAATGGTATACCTAATAAGAACGTGCACACTCATACTTTAGCATACTCATAACACACATTTACCTATAATGAATTATTTTTACTTTAATGTTATGTTATTTACCTCTTGAAATAATGGTTTCTAAGCCAGTCCCATTAATGAAAGCACGCTTGATGGTCTGTGTTTTCACATCAGTCCAGTATAAGCGTTCCTCAACAGCATCAAAATCTATGACCGTCACATCATCAATGTCAGGAACGGTGAAGGCTGTGATGAAGTTGAAGTATGGGTTTTCTATGTCCACCCCTCTTATTTCTGAACGCCTTGCATAAAGAAGAAATTTCTTCCTTTCTGTTAGAAAAAAAGGAAAACATCACTCCTCATCTTCCTTACAACATCGCTAACAGAACTCAAAGTCATTCGAGTTCACTTTACAAATGTGTATATAAAGTTTATAGAAATGATTTAACATCTCCAGAAAATCTGCAGCCTACTGACAACTGAGAAATAATGTATGTTATAGAGCATAAAAACCACAGGAAAAATATATTAATTCTGGACATCGGACAAGATGTTACTGCACCACTAAATCGATAGGGTCTTGTGCAAGTCTAGAGAAAAAAGTTAAATGATATTTTAAACATTTTACCCCACTTATCCCATTTGTACATCATAACAGATATTAACACTTGGTATCTGAAGGAAACAGTATCACTGTAACAGGGAAGTTTTGCAAACAACAAAACTCAGGAGGAATACCACAAGGTATGTATAAGCACTGAAAAGTCAACAGGCAGCAGAAAAAGAACATGTTGATTTTTCTGATTTAGAAAGCCACTAATGAAAAAGGGTGATATATTAAAGGCAAAACACAGCTCTATGAAAAGTGTAAATTATTGGAGCCAATTTCTGTGAATGAACAATAAAGGTAACTTTTATCCCCGCAATATCCTTGATATGACAAAATATTTTTTCTTTTTTCTAAACATTATTAATCCATACTGCAAAGAGTAATGTAGTACAAGGTTTTACAGATAACAGACACAATTATTTGACATTTGGAGGGCTTTTATAGCTTAAAAGTGTTTATTGTAATTTTTTATAAAACTCCCCTGCAAGGCTGCATGTCTAATATTTACTCTTCATTTCATTTTCTTAATCCTTGAAAATGAAACTAAGACAACTTTAGAAGAACAGGTAGAGATTTAAGCTATTACGTACCTTTTTGTTATTCAGCTTACCTGACTCATCATTTTCTGGTGACACACTTTGCAGTATAAATCTTTCTGTTTTGCAGTGATAAGTTTTACTAACATATCATGCACATAAGCAACAGAAAAAAATATCTGTGGTAACAAGTATCAAAGCTCCACACACATCATATATTAGATTAAGTTATCAATTCTCAAAAAGTAGATATCCCTTTAAAGTATATAATTAAAATGCACTGTAGAGATTGTTTTTAAGAATATGTATTTCAGTTTTTCCAGTACAAAATTCTACAATCAATACAACTGTCAGGCTTTGGGAGGAAAACTTACCGTAACATGTTTTCTTGTCTAAAGACAGTTTCATCAGATGTGGACAGGCACATGCAGCACTTCTGTTGTGATTGATCAGACACATGTGAGAACACGGACCTCTGCCCTCATTAGCAGCGCACGGATTGGAAGCTACGAGTGAACAATGAAATACACAAAATATAAAAAAAACTTTTGGAATGAAGGTTTCTCAAAATAGCATAAGCTGCACTGGTGAGAGAGTAGTGAAAACTCTGAACACAAACCTGGCCTCATTGATTCACTGAGCTTGTACGCTAATCACTTCTTCTAGGCTAACACATTCAACTCTTGTCCAAGCACTTTTTTTTTTTTTTTTTCCTCTTCAGTACAGCCACAAAACTTATCATTGGAATTTCATGAAGCCACTGGATATAATTTTCCCAGTGAGATATTAATTTTGCAGTCTATTTATAACATTTAAATGTATAGAATTATACACTTCTAACCAGGACACATGGGATAAAAAAGAAAAGTTAATAGGATGAGGACCTGAACAACAAATTTTGCTTTGTGAAGGGTCAAAGCTTAGATTATACAATGAATTTTGGCAAAGTCAATGTTCCCTGTCAATTTGCTCTACCTACTAGAATATTAGCTGGAAATCTCACATACAAAAATAATTTGAAAAAAACACGCCAAAGTATTTCTACTTTTCTCAAAGAAAAACCTCTCCTAAGTATAGCTTTTTTCAAGTAGCTTCCTATAGTTCACTGATTGAACAAGATGTACTAAAATTGCTTTAAAGAGGAGAAAGAAAGATGACTGGAGAAGACTTCTTAGTCTTACAAAACCTAGAAACTGTTATTATCTTCATTCATTATTATACACACACAGAAAGTAATGTTGAATTTTCCATTTACTACAAGAAGTGGGAATGACTGACTTATAAAGACAATCTTATAATTAACAAAATCAATTAGTTTAGAATACATTCTTCCAATGCTGTGCTAGCCTGGAATGTAAGTAATTAGATAATTAGAGAAATCTGATGTTTGAATTTCTTCGTGAAATAAATTTAGCTCAAACTCTGGTACTAAAATTTGAAGACAAACTCGAGGTTTGCTTCATTGAACCATTTCTTTTTTCATCAGTGCATGCTTCCTTAGATTTATCCATCAGCTCCTGAATCCTTTAACTGCTTCTCTGACCAGTACTACAGGAAGAATGGAAATTTCAAAACCTTGGATAAACAGGTTAATGGAAATCTATCTTGCATTTTGCATCATTCTATCAAAAAATCACAGGCTTTTACAGATTTCTGAGAAGTCCCATTTGCCCCTTTGAAACACTGGCAGCACCGGAGGCCACTCAGCACTCTCCCAGCCTTTGCAGTTTCTCCCGCTACTCTAAGGTTTATTAGAAAGAAGCATCCCACATCCTCTCTGTCAGCTCTCCTAAACATCTGATAAAAAAATCAGATGGGACAATAAGCTTAAAAATATTTATTCTTGGTTAATGACTTAATATCTCCAACTGCTAAGGGACTGTAAATACTTTATTATCCTCATGTGATGATATATTTGATTCTGCCTTTCCCCAAAATTACAATAGACAAATGTTTATTTAACATCATCACTTTTCTTGTATCTGTAGTAACAATGTAAAAAAATCTGGGGTGTTCTCTTTTATAAGTTCCCAACTTTGTGTGGAAGGTAAGAAATGTGAAGCTGAGGAAAAGAGACGGAAGTTAAGAAGGTTCCAAGAGCACTTTAGAATAAGAATCAATTAATGGACTGTTAATTCTAGCAAATGTGAGTCATCTATCTCTACGAACTTGACATAAAAAATGAAACACAATTTAGGGTTTTGACAATATTGTGATGGAGAGTATAGAATCATTGTTGTAAGGGATCTCAGGAGATCACCCAGTGGTTCAACCTCCTGCATTTTTTGGCATTCTTAACACTGCTGCTGTGAGATTTAAAATTTAGTCATAAGTTTTGTAAAAAAAAGCATTTCCTTTAATTTATTTGCCAATGCAAAGCAGTAATTTCATTGGAACCTCAACCTCTTTATATGCATACAAATGTCTGTGGTGAGGATATACCTGAGGCCTAAGACTGGTAATCCCCATCTTGTCTTTCTGTGCAAGTAGTACAGTATGTTCTTCTCTACCAAAGTTGCCATTTAAGTATGGGAATTCAAATAGAAGAACATACAGAAGACAAAAATAAAAGGCATGCCGGTTAATCATCATGTTAAAGAAAGAGTTGTGGTTAAAATGTGCTACGAGCCACAACAAAGAGGAGACAGTACAATTTGCATACTATCTGTCCACATCACAATTCCCTTCATATACCACGGGATGCAAAATTGGTGGAAAAAGAAGTGCTGTAAAGCAGATGTATTTGTTTCCACATGCATGCACAACTGGAGGAGTAAACCACCATAATCTAAAAATTACTTATACCAGCACATATATATATTTTCCTGTCTTATTCATATTACTTTCACTGAATAACAGCTAAGCCCATTATTTACTTTGCTCTAACAAAAACTAATTCTCTTGAAGGCAAATAGGTATGCTATTGCTCTGACTCTTGAAAATTTGGCTCTTTTATTTCCTTGTGCTAGTTCTAACCCTTCCTTCTTTTTCTGTTGTGAATGACCACATAAACATTCTTTATTCACCTTCTCCATGCCATTTATGATTTCACAGACTGCCAGCACACAGAAGCCTGTCTATAACCTGTATTTCAAGAAACATCAGCTTACCTGTCCTCATACAAAAACCTTTCCCATACTCTTGATAAGCCTGTCAAGCTTTCTCGGTATCTTTTTTATGATCTGTACACAGTATTCAAGATATGGGAGTGATATGGATTTACACAGCCATCGCAATTCACTGTCTGTGGTTCCCTATTCCTTTCCTAATCATTTCCACCAATTTATTTTCCTTTTGATCATGGCAACCCACAGAACCGGCATTTTCACCAACTGGCCAGCCTTTTGCATTATTTAATTGATTTCCACTCCTGGCTGCTTGTCAATCTATTTCTCCTATGTTACTGCGCACAGATATACATATGCCACTCTTTTTCATCATATTTCTTCTTGACTGCACTCTAAAACATTATTTGAATGAAACGTTTATTTTTCTTGACTAGTAACCCATAGAAACCCCTCAGACATTCTATCACCAGTTGACAAATAAACAGTTACAATGACAACATCTAAATATGCATTTTCTATAGACTAACATATCCTCCATATTAACTTCATACTGAACCCGCCCCTTCTTGGCATCAGGTTTCAGCTTGGCAAAATTTTAATCTTATACTTCAGTGGTGTGCTACATGATTAAATTCTGCCTACACCTTCAAATATATGCATTTGCACTTAAGACAAAAGGATACATTTAAATTGCTGACAATCTATTCCCACTCATATTTAAAACCAGTTATAGATCTAATTCCCTGCTCACTGTCAATACTTTCTGAGTATTGCTTTTCGTAGGGCCAAAGATCCTTTTGCTGTACTTGGTCAAGTTAAAATTTTTATACTGCCTGATCATGTCTGATTATTTTGTTTGGAATTATGTTTGGAATTTGCAAGTTAGGACTGCTCAGATAATACATTAGTTCTAAAATACATATTTATTGTCTGTATTCACTATTTCTACTTCAGTTTTTAATCATGCACTTGAAGAATTAGTCAGTGTACCATCTAACAAAAATTTACATATTCACCATGAAACAAAATTAACAAGAATATTATTAGCTCAAAGTTAGCAGAAATCTTCATGATACTTTATTGTATACTGTATGATAGCTTTATGGTAATTTTGAAGCTCTTGTTAATGATTCTCTGCCCCTCCCTTCCCCCGTGTACAGCTAGAGATGAAAAGGTACTGAAAAAAACTAGAGAAAAATGTAATTAATTATGTAAGCCCAGAATTAAGAACAGGCTACCTGGAATGACTGACCTTAAAAAGTATGCTGACAAACTAGGCAGATTATTAAAAGAATAACAAATGTTGTAATGCTATGGTATTACCACATGGGAAGGCCAAAGGCAATAGTACTTTTAGGAGCAGGTGCTATGCTTTATAGAAAACTTTCCAAAAAATAAGAAATTTACTGTTGAAGTAAGTAACAAAAAAAGAGTTGACAAAGGATTAAATTAAATCCAAGTGTGAAATTCTGTGCAAGAGTTACATGACAGACTGAGAAGACATATTTGAAAAAATCAATACACGTATATTAATATACAAGGAAAAAACAATCTCAAGTTGACATACACGAGAATAAGCACTGAAATAGCACCCATACCTCCAAGATCCTTTTCTGAAGCAACAGATACTACTTATAGATAAGAAATGGCTGTCCAATACCCCTTTTATTACAAGAGCTAGGACACGCTGAACAGAATTATCAAGTATTAGGAGCAAAACAAGCGAGACGATGTCCTCTCTCACACAGTGCACAGTTACACAACAGAGCCATCAGCCCAAAAAATTGCAGACACCAAGAGTTTGTCTAAGTTCAAAAGCCAACTAGTAAAGTTCATGCAAGAAGAATCAGTCAAAGGCTTTAAAGCCTTTGGAGCGCAAAGATATCATTTTAGGTTCCGCAGTGACAGCTATAGGAAGCTGCCAGGCTGTACGGGAGGAGCACGGCTCTTATCTTCCCTCAGGTCCACACTTTCCTGACGGCACTGATCAACCATTGTCAAAGACAGGACGCTGAGTTAAGACAAATGTAGGAAAGGCTGCTTTTATAATTCCTAAAATAAAAACGGAATTTTCCCAAGGCACAAAATAATCCAATTTAAAGTTCAGAAAGATTGTATATATTTTGCATGATTTATAATACACATACCAATCTTGCTGCTGGTTTTGAAGTAAAAAGAATGTGCGCAAGAAGGTTGTGATAAAATCTCAAACTAATAAAATTGTTTAAATTCCCCCAAAATAAAATAGTCAAAACTTTGCTCATGTGCATCTTAAGCTACGTTTCTGTAAAAAAAGTGATTTATTTTAAACAGCTGGCTATCCAGCCTCAACAGAATACTGTAACAAAACAGTGCTATGAAGTTAAATGTTTTTCATGTTTTAATTACAAAAAAAACCCAAACCCAATGGTACCAATATACTTTATATTCAGCAGTTA